GAGGATAAACGCGTGTTTAAAGGTGGGCATGACTCGCTTCAGCCTGGCGCGGTGGCGGGCGGGTGGGTGGAGTCCGCGCGACCACGGGCGGTGTTTCAGGCCTCGTCTCCAGTGACTCTAACATCGCGAGATCGATACTTGTTAACTAACATACGTTGGGAAACTCGATACGTGTTGTCATATGGCCTGGAACTTGTGTTTGTGAATCGCGCGTGACTCTGGAGGCGGTCATTCAGTTGTTTGTGCTCCGTACTCCACGCGAGCCGGCCATGGATTGCCAAACTCGTTCTGAAGGCATGCACTATTGGCACGTCGACCGTCCTGAATTTTCACAAACCAATGAACCGTAACGTTATGAGTTGCGCTGACCTACAGCAATGAAGCTACGTCTCCCCATTGGAAGCCACTTTCAGCAAGCTTCCCCCGCACTCAATATGCCATCGAACTCGTCATCCACCGCCCTGGTGCGGTGCATCCGAACTCACGGGTGATGCTTTGCGAGCCTGGCTCACCGCTCACCTGGCACCCGTTTATCCCAGGTGCACGGCTTGCAAATGAACATTTACGAGTGACAGCTCTGGGTAGATAAAAAAAACGCACTTGCTGTTAGCCGCACACGTCTCTTATGAGTTGATCTATCTGTTTTCTCGCAGTCAATTCCGATACGATTGTTTCCGGAGAATCAATTAACCAATCAATCAATTAAAGCACACGTGGCGACGTTAACTAAAATTTGTCACGTGCTCAGCCTTCATCGTAGCCGAGCACGATGGCTGCCTGCGTTGTGAGCGAGGCGTGCGGGTATCAAAGCCGCATGCCCGTTGGTCCGTTGACCGGGCTGGGTCGTCGGTGTCGTCGATCAGCGGTCACCCGCCCGCCGCCCCATGGGCTCGCACGCCGCCATCCCGCGCCCGTGCGGCCAGCCTTGAGTCGGCGTCGGCGGGGCGCCGCCAGCCACATCTGGGGCGCACGTGGTGGGGCGCTGCCCTCGGGCCGACGGGGCGGTCTCCTGCCGGCCAGCCCGTCATGTTCTCGTGTCTCCCACGGCGCGCGCCGCGGCGCTTCCTGCCCTCGGGCCGACGGGGCGGTCTCCTGCCGACCAGGCCGTCATGTTCGCGTGTTCCCACGGCGCGCGCCGCGGCGCTTCCTTGTCGCGTGGGCACGGCTCATCCCGCGGCCGCTGTTTTACGAGTCAAACCTGCCGGAGGGTCGCGGATTTTGAATGCGCGACCAGCACTCTCTCCCTCTCGGGTAGCCCAGGGTGATCGTATCAGCTCCCACGCTGCAGCACGGGCCCGGCAGAGCGGACCGTGCTCCTCACAGTCCTCGGCAGGCAGCGGGGCCGGCGTTTTGGGGGCCACGTCCGCCAGCCGCCTCTCCGTCTCTTTGTCTCCAACTGCCATTGGTGATAAACCAGTGTACGACAACTTGTTGTGGCAATGAGGGAATATTTTATTGCCCATTCTTTATGATGACGTGATGCTCGCTCTAGCGGCCACCAGCGGCGGAATGGCGTTTGCGACTAGAGGCGCTGTATTGGACAGTCTTTGCGTATGCTGGGCAGTACTTTGTTATGAGCAAATTTAGCCACTGGTAATTTATCTTGCAACACTGTTTTCAGGCCAGCTGCCTCCGCCAATGCACAACACACCGTAGCATTACCCCTAGCTCCGCTTTCTTCGCCGGATTTGCCGCTCCTCTTTCCCTCTTATCCTCTGAGAAGACTGACAACACACCATCAGGCCAAACAATAAACAGCCCGTATCAAATCCAAATCTTATGGGCGCTGCAGCTAACGTACCCTGATAACTCTGAGACACGCCATGTCGGCAGACATTCGTCCAGACTCAAGGTATCTGGGGCACGCCCTGTCGGAAAATATTGATCGTGGTCTGAGCTCGCCCGTGGACGCGCCATATCGGCAGGTGTTGCCGACATGTTTGCTCAGCTTCGGCATTGATAAGGGCTGCGGCAAATGCTCGGCCCGCCGGAGGGCATCACACACACCTGCCCGGTCAGCGTAGTCCTGCCCGACCTCCTGAAGCGGCCCCAGGGTCGGACTACCGGAGAGCCGATCCCGGACTGTCGGGCCGATCCCGGACTGTCGAGGCGGACCCGGACTGTCGGGGCCGACCCCGTACTGTCGGAGTTGACCCGGACTGTCAGGGCCGACCCCGGACTGTCAGGCGGACCCGGGACTGTCGGAGTTGACCCCAGACTGTCGGGGCCGACCCGAACTGTCGGAGTTGACCCCAGACTGTCGGGGCGGACATCGGACCGTCGGAGTTGACCCCGGACTGTCGGCGAGCCGACCTCGGACTGTTGGAGTTGGCCCCGGACTGTCGGGGCGGACATCAGACTGTCGGAGTTGACCCCGGACTGTCGGGACCGACCCCGGACTGTGGAGCCGACCCGGACGTTCGGAGTCATCCCGGACTGTCGGAGACGATCCCGGACTGTCGGGACTGACACCGGATTGTCGGGCCGATCCCGTTCTGAGCTGGCCTCGGGCCGTTTAGAACTGGACCCGGACTGCGGGGCCGGCCCTGGACCGTCCGGATCATGCTCCCGGCGACCGGGTCCGGCTGGCCGGCTGTGCTGCCGCGCGTAAGAGCGATGACCGGCCTGTCCGGCATGAGCCATAGCCGTTGGCGACTGTCTGGCGTGAGGTGACGCCACCGGCGACTGCCCGGCGTGAGAGATGTCGGTCCGATAACCGACCGACGTCAATGGCGGATAATTGTCCCCCATTTCTCCGGTCTCCGGTCGCCGCCCACCGGGCCGCCCTATCGTCGCTGGCATCGCCTCGCCCGTCGCCTCGACTAATTGTTTGTCGATATCAGCGTGGCGGAGGTAAACACACGGGACGAGGTCGTCCGCCTGTGCGCCAGCTGGTC